GATAATTAAGATTTTACATAGAATCTTATAGGGCGTCTAATAATTTGGCCAGGGTCTGTATTAATTAATACATTTGATTATAAACCAATTTTTTCTGACCTGAAAGTGGTACCAATATTTATATGTTATAACATATGTTTTTTTGTATTATGTGTACTATTTAAAGCGTATTATTAAAAATGTGAACTTCAGCGAATTTTAAATAAATTATTAAAAGTGGGCTATAGTATGTTCTAGAGATTTTACCATTCAGTGGTCTATGAGTTAAGGAAAATGGCTTAATGAAAAATTATAGTACTGATTACTTAAATACCGAAAAAAACTTCATTTAACTTAATTTAAAAATAGGCTGACAAGACTTTTAAATAGAACTAAAATGAAGCAACAGAATATTAAGAAATTTAATTCCTGTTATTTGATTCCAGCAGCATTTAACTTAGTTAAACTGAATATATTTTTAATATGAATGATAAGTACTATGACTAGTGCTTATGCAGTGATAATTGGCACAGATAAGATATTCATTTTGCACAATTAATGTCAATATGTTACTCCATTCAACTGCATACAACTGTTTCAAGACTTGCTGTTAAAGTGTAACACGTTAATTTTCTTGATCAGACAACAACAAAAAAAAGTGCAAATACACACGATTTATTTAAAAAAAAGTACTATAACATCACTCTGATTGGATTGCACTTTTCCCTGATTAGAATAATATAAGTTTGTTGAAACTTTTTTGTCGTTAAAGGGTAGAAGAGTTTCCCCTCTGATAAGAATAGAAAAAGGAATAAATTTAATTCTTGTTAAACCAATAAATATTATCTACTTCGTATACTATAATCACGTCTTCATACATTAAGCTCAGTATATCATAATATTATAAAATAATTATTTTCTAGTTAGAAGGATATTGTAGACTGAATTATTAATATTTCCATCTTGGTCTGTCTAAAAATGTACTTGATATGTTGAAAGGCATAGGCTTGTGATAAACTAGTAAGTTCATTGAACAATAATAATAACTTTTGTAACCATAACGAAATAATTGATATTTAGTTAGAATACATACTAGTGCCATTGAATTAGGTATAAGCTGTATCATAGAAATATACCGTAGTGCCATTCACACATCATCGCGTGTAAGTATATTTTTCTAATGTGTGTAAAAACAAGTGTAGTCTTTCAAGTGCTGTGCAACGAAATGTATTGCTAGTACTATGGATGTAGTTCCGATTAACATTTTATGTAGGGTAAATGAACTATACTTATATGTAAGGGCTTAGGTGGGCCCTATATATTTAGCTAGGTTTGAAATATTCAACCTAGAAATTATGAACCGATTTGGTTTCGACTAAGCAAAATGCTTGGGCAAATAATATCCATTGGTTATGTCTTATAAAATACCATTTAGAATGTAATAAACTGTCTTTTTGTAGATTATAAACTCACCCAAGATAATTTAAGTATTGACCATTTAGTTCTAATTTTTTTGCAGTCAGCAATTGGTTTGTAAATAAATTGTGAAGTCCAAAGCAATTATCAGTTATATAAGAAATTTTCGATGAAGAAGAGCATTAATTATACAATTAAGTAACTTTTGGAATGCTACGAAAGACTTGGCAAGAAATCGATCACACATTTAGCTATTTTCCTTACCCAATGGCATGACAGCCCAGTGTGGGCCTTAGCCTTCTTCAAGCTTTCATTCCAAGCCGCCCTACCCTTAACATTGACTTTCTCTCCGGTTACTTTGAGGACGCTCAAGTCTCTTTCCAAACAGTCTACCTATGTGAATCTTGGAGGACTTCTTTTCTTGAATGCCTGATGGTATGGCTGAGAAAAATTTTTTCATTTTCCATTTTTCATCGGGCACTCTGATAATGTGACCATTTTTGAATGTTAATAAAATCTAGTCTTTCTAAGTCTTTTTAGATTTTGTAGAGTTCGATTTTTTTTTCTCCAGTGATATCCTTTTGAATTCCGCGAAATCACGTCTTGAGCATTTTCTCTCAAAAGCTGCAAGTAGTATTTTTTTTGAATAATTTTTGTCTGCGTTTTAGCTGCATATGTAGCTGCATGCGTCTTTCTTTTGTCCATGTTTCAGCTGCATTTATAAATAATCAGTTTAGCTGAACTTTTTATGAAACCTGCCTTTAAAAACTTTAGTCTAAAGGAGCTTCGGTTGGAAAGTGTTATTCTGTTATGGATTTCCTCTGTAATATTGTTTTCTGTGTTGATAACAGATCCCAAATATGTAAAATATTAAAATTGCATTTGTCTAGTTTAAAGAAAGGTTCATTAAATTTTAATTTGGTGTATGGCATACATACATTTGGTTTCAGTTTGGTTAATGCTGAGCCGCATTTCGGTTGTCTCAGCTTCCGAAGGAGATGGATGCTAGTTTGAGGTTTGTTGTTTGATGTCATCGGCCAAAGGTTAATGTTGAAGTGAATTTCGGTTGGCACAGCTTCCAAAGAGATGGATGCTTGCTTTAGGGCTGTTGTTATGTTTACTTTGGAGTTTCTGATGATTTTTTAAGAGCTAACTTAATCAGAAAGCAAGTCATTGCATCATCTTGACTTAGGCCATTTATTATAGTTATATGACGTGAAATAAAAGTTGCATATATCGATTTGTAATAATATTAAGAGGAAAATCTTGGAAAAATATTATTTTTTTATTTAAATAGTAGTCTTATTGATTTTAATAATCAGTCAAGTACTGAGTATTAGTACGAGTACTGACTTCTGTAATTCAAGTGGCTAGCTATGTAATTCAAATGACTAGCTGTATAATTGAACTGATGAGTGTTATAAAGAAAAAGTGAGTGATGTGCAAATGAGAAGATGAATTTATTAATTTAGAATAATGCGATTTTCGATTTTTTAACACCAAAAGCTTTATAAACCCACTAAATCAAAATCAAATTCTCATTAATACGTTGTAAAAATGGTTATTAATATTTATTTTGAAAAGAAAATCTCTTTTAAATGTAGGAAAATTATAATAACTTTAAAAAAAAAAATTAAAATTGACAAGTGATTTTTATTAAATCATGACTTAAGTCACTATTTTTAGGGCTTCATATGTTGCAAATTGGTCAGAGTATTTGGATAGCACTGATGCAGAACCGGGCACACTGCAGATTGGTACCCTTAAAAGTTTGCCTCAAAATATATACAGGGTATTTTATAATTTCTTGCAAAGTATTTTTATCGCAACGCAAGTAAAAAAAAATATTTCGTCTAATACTTTATAGCAAAAAGTTTATCAAGTATTACAAACTTGAGCTTTTAGAACAACATAAATGCACGGATTATTGTTTGTCATAAAAAAAGAGGAGACTTAAAAAATGGCTGAGTTCACTTATGGAAGGGTGTAGATAGGTTTGTCTTAGCCTATGAGAAATCATTTGTTCTAGAACAACTCCATATACCTCAAAATGACAGATTGTGGACAGTATCGATTTAAAGCATGCCACATGATAAAAAATTGGCCTGAAAAATTCATCTCCAATAATAGTTTGGGGCTTTCTGAAATAAGGGAAAACTTCCTTTGGTTTTTATTGATAAGGGAGTTAAAATTTGTGAAGTCTATTTAAATAGAGTCTGGAGAAAGCTCTTTTGCCCAATCTCAATACTGTGCATGGGGATGAATATTATTGGCTATTGGCAAGATTGTGCTTTTTCGCATTCTGCGAACATAGAAATTGGTGCGAAGTCAAACTACCAGAAAATAAATGGCTCTAAAGCTTTCTGGCTATTGAATCTTTTTGCATGAGGTGTCATGCAGCGAATACTGAATAATGTAAAACGCACAAATTTGAACCAAATTTAGAGTGATATAAAACGTGCATGGGCAAAAAACAATTATGAATGCTGTACGTGTTGCTTGTACTACTTTTGAGAAAAGATTAAACCTTGTAAAAAACTAAGTGGAATTACACTTTTAACTTGTTGTAATGGTTTTAAATATGATGTTGTTTCTTTTATGTAAATAAGCTGATGCTTTTTACCAAGCCTTGAAATTTTATGTTTGAAGTTGCAGAACTTGATTTTTTAATCAAGGATTACGATGACTATTCATTTGGTAAAGTAAATTCCGGACGGATTTTCGATCAACATAAAGGCATTTAATTAGATTCTGAAAGGTATTTCAGTGATTATAAGCCATGAACCTTTGTAGATACCATTAGTACCACATAACATTTGATAAGTCTTACAAGGTGTCCTGTAAAAAAGTGCACCATTCTTTAAAACTATTGAAGATAGAGGGATAAAATATACGGTGTAATGACAGAGAAAGTCGTAAGAATTTAAATTTTTTTTCCAATGGCAGGCACTGAATTTTAATCTTGGCCTATGAAGATGCCGGAATTGTTACTCATTTAGCGTTGCCCAGTGGGCACCCATGAACCAATGGTACGGAGGCGAGCAACATTACCCTCGCCACACTGCCACAAACCCGTTTATAGAGTGGGCCACATTCACACATCACACACTCACACAACAGAGGACAGCACAAAGAGAGAGAGAGAGAAACATCCCGCAGCCAACGGCTTCGCAGTCAGGCGCGCTAACAGCTCGGCCACCTGGCCGGCGTAGAATTTAATTAATTACCAGCAGATTAAATTAATTTAAAAAATTGCTGCAGTCGCTATGTAAAATCCCATTAAAAGGAGCTCAAAAACTCAAAGCGATCAAATCTGTCGTTGAAACGTGAAGGGAGTTACATCCAGAAGGAAGCCATGCTTTTCACGGAACAATGTGTGTTTCTGCTTTGGATTTATCACAGGTTGGATCGCAATATTAAGGCGCAGTCTTTTACTCTATTTAGCATTAATTTTAGTAGCCAAATGTTAGAAACTTTTGAAGCAAATTTAAAAAAAATTGGGCAGACGTCTTACATCTTTCTATATCAATATATAAGTCATTTTATCCTTTTATCAATAATGAATGATTTGATTGATTAATTTTGAACTAGGAGTATTTTTTGCTGGGCACTCTGCATTAAATATATTAAGTGAGCCGCGATTTGATAGTGGTTAAGGCACTCAGCTGCTTATGAGAAGAATAAGGGTTCTATATCCTGAGACTACTCTTCTTTATGTGAATGGGTCCAATTTGTCGAGTAAAGTGAAGGCGGCCATAGCGCAATGCTGGACTTTGTGGAGCCTTAACCTCCATGATTCTCTTGGCAGTCAATTGAGAGCTGAGGGCGGTATATTTTATTTTTACTTTTGTTTTTAACTAGATTTAATAAACAGTGGTAAGGTGTAATGGCAATAACCAGTAAAAACATTACTAGTAATGACAATAACCAGTAGTAACGAATATTAGTCTCAATTAAACGATATATAATGAGTATACCTATTTCAGTGGCACTTAAATTTTCTTTACATTAAATAATGATAAACTTGATAAAGTTGGTGATCTATGCGATTAACAAATTTATTTTTGAAGAAATATGACTACGTCTGGTATATATCTGTAATATATAACAGATATATATCTGTAATATGATCTGTTTCATCCGATGTTTGATCAGAATTTTCTACCTACCACGTCCAGTATAGGAGAAGGATGTGAGGTACGTGAATCGTAGTTGAATGAGATGAATCGGGAAATTCGGTAACACTGAATATTGGCTCAAAATCTTTTTTTTAAGTCATTCTGATATTTTCTTATAATAATTCAAATAAATGATCGTAATTATTTACAAGCATTAAAAACTTTTCTTATAGTACATACAAACAATCGATTTCTAAGTACTGATAACAACTTTCCCGATTAATGTCCTGAAGCATCGAAAAAGTTTTTAAATGCCAGTCCAGAATCTTGCATACAGATGACCTTGAATTTGTTTCGAACTTTGGGCTGTCCCTTCACTGACTAGATTGTTGAGCGTATAAATCTGTTTTATATAGTGTCTTTGACCATCTATGTTGCACAAGGAACATTCCATAGCTGAGGAGCTTTGTGAAGCTCACTTATGTAATGGAAAAGATGCGATATCTCAAGGCACACTGCAACTGTTTGAAGAAAAAATCTGCAAGAAGGAGCAGCGCGTCACCACATGTGGTACCTCCACTGCAGTATTAACAATATGGTCAGTAACAGGAAATTAATGTTGCCATGGTCTGCAGCTAGCTGAACATGTCCAGAAGATTCTGCAAAAAAGCAGTTAATTATTATCAAAAAGGAATTTGTAAGGGAAAAGCATAGTAATGAAATAAGTAGGAGTATGGAATTTTAATTACTAATCCATTTGCAAAACTGATGATATTGTTAAACATGAAATGTGTAATCACTTAAAAACGTAAATAAATTAATTTTTAAATTCTTCCATACGTTAGTATTTGCAATTTTAATAAAATTTTGTAGTCCAGGATTATCAAGAGTTATGTAACGCTTAGAACTCAGAAATATAAACTTTAATCGTAAGAAGATATAACTTATAGAATTTTGTGCACAGTTGCAAACTAAGATTCGAAATTGCCCCTTTTAATGCTAGACTAATTTTGTGAGAAACGTTTTTGTACTATAATAGTTTAAAAAAGTTTTAAGTAATGCAAATCAAACTGAACATCTAAGCAAAACGTCTAAATAATTCGTCTGAATATGAAGGTCTAAATAAAAGCGTTAGCAGTAAAAGGATATAACTTACATAATTTTGTGTACAGTTGCAAACTAAGATTAGAAATTGTCCCTTTTTATGTCACGGTGGTTTTATGCAAAACGTTTTTGTACTATATTAGTATGAAAAGGTTTTAAATAATGCAAATGAAACTAAACATCTAAAAAAATCCGTCTAAATATTTCGATTCGATTTTAACAAAATATATTATGAACGTTATTCAATCTTATTTTTACACTTTATTGTTTCCTTTTGATGCAATGCCTCTTTATGTGAGTGAATCAAAAAAATTTATGAATAAACCAAAAGTTATATTAGGAAATGCTATTACTAATTTTTTTGTTATTCTATGATAATTTTTAAAAATTTAGAACATACTTCATGTGATGTTGTCATAGGTACATGTTTACTAGATTTTTAATTTCTTTTATTCATAAATTTAATCATTCCTAATCTCTTTTTTTTCAACAAATAAATCAGCTAATAAATTTAGTTTTATAAAGAGCGAATGCAAATATTTTCATTTTCAATAAATGTAATGGCTAACTTTTTATTTCAATCCAAGTTTATAACTTATTTTTATTCTAAGTCAGGACAACTGAGCATCAAAATCTATTTTTAAAACCATTCTTTTTTCACCCATATTGATTTAGCTTTTGATTAAACAGGTAGTGGAGGATTTATGGTATGGCATGTCCATATTCATATTATGCAAAATTTATAATTTTATTTAAAATGTCCCACAGATAACAATATTCTTTTATTGTTGCACCTCGAGGTCTGCATCGAAATAAAAATTTTATTACGATTTTAATCCTGTTTCTCATCTACTTCAGTTAGTCAAACCACACTTACAGATACATACATATTTGCATTATACATCAACATAGAAAGTATTTGATAAATACATTATAAAGAATTGGAAAATGAATTCTCAATAAAATTTCCTTTTAAGGAGTTTCATAAATTTAAATTAATAAATTTGTTTGAGCAAATTTTTAGACATTTCTTTTGAATTATGTCCAGAAAACTAGTGTTGTCATGAATGTTTTATCTGATTCACCAAGCCAGATGAGTTATTAAGAGAATCTACATTTAGTATTAATAACATTAATGTAAACATAAGTGGTGTAAGTCTTATTACAAACATATCCTTGTTTCTTTGTCACATTATAGCTTGCAGGATGAATAGCCAACTACCACAAAGGATAAAGGAACACATGGTTCTTTTCCCTAGAAAGGATAGATAAACTATCTTAGGTTTCTGAACTGACACAAAACATCACAAGATCATATCCCTTATGTTAGAGAAGGTGGTAAAGCTGCAGAATGGAAACTTTTTGATGAAAGAGGAAAGAATAATAATAATGATAGGAGAAGCAATTTAGTTTTAAAAGATGATGCATCTTGTAGTTTAGAGATATTAAGTTAAAAAAGTTTTATAAACTATTTGGAATTTTTAATAAATTGCTTTCAGTAAATAAATGTTTTGATATTTTTTGGGACATTTTCTTATTGTTTTTTCTGTTTATTGAATTATTAAATTATATGATATTTATTAAAAGCATTAAACACGTTTAAAATTTATTAAATAAATAATATCCAGAAACTAAAGCAGTAAGAAATTACTTGATTAAAAACTTCATTGTCTTCAAAAATATACACATTGGAAACAACAGTCGACGTGCTTCCAGCGCTCAAAAACAGGAACCCATTTCTAATAACTCGTGTTTCTTCTCATTCACGTCTGGCAGGTTTTGAAAATGGGTGCCTGTTTATGAGCGAACTGTTTTGAATGCACTTTTAAAATTACTTTCCAATAGTAGTAATTGGATATTTATAAATTGGCAAATATTTAACTAATGAAAAGGATACTGAAAGAAAAAATCTTCATGCACATGGATAAGTTAAAAAGCATAAAGAAAATTAGTTTTATTCAGTAAATCAATCCATATTGACTAAAATAAGGATGATTTTTTTTGTATGATAAATGCTTAGAGGATGTATTAATATCTAATATTTATATAGTCTTTCTATGCCCAAGGAAACTAAAAAAATGCTTATTTTTACTTTTGATATTTTTTTCTTTTATTGCTTTTCTGTGTTTTTCAAAAATCAAATGAACGTGATTATATTAGATGCCGTTTTGTACTAAATAAATCTTGCAAATTATGCTTTTTTAATTTAAAATACTTGCCCGAATAATTCTTAATAAATTGATTAAAAATATAGCTTTTGAAAAACACTAAAAAGTTTTACATTTGTTTATTAAAAATTGTTTTTGCAATAAAACTATTCTGATTTTTCCGAAGAAAAAGTCTATATTTACTAGACTAATAGTAAATCTAACGTTTATACATTAATTAATAAATGGATATTTTTTTTCATACCTTTTTTTATTAGATATTGCCTGACATTTCAATACATTAATGATTAAGTCTTTAAGTCTTAAAATAATAATTTGTTTATTGAAAATTTCTATATAAGTAGAGATTTAAAATGATGTAAAAGAAGGAATAAGTAGTATAATTTGAAATTGTTATTTGCATCTTTTGATAGTCACTTTACCATACCTAAAATACAATTCATACTATCCGAGCTACGATTTGATATTTACTGCTGTATTCAAACTTTTATTAAAACAAAACGAATGTATACTTGTTTAGTAGTAAACATGAATAGTATTCATACTTTAAAAAAAATCTTCGCATAAGTTTGAGTTGAATTCCTTATGAATATATATAT